AAAAAAAAAAAAAAAAAAAAAAAGTGTTTCATGTCCAATATCATATTACAAATTATGTGTTGTTTATAAAAAATAATAGAATTGTTGCTCTATAATAAAAACATCCAAACTATTTTATTGAAAAAAAAAAAAACATTATATAATTGCATAAATCCCTTTTTATTGTTTATCTTGGAATTGGATAATGTTTGTACAATGCATTTTTTCTGGTTAATGTCATTGTCATTTCCAGTAAAATGATAACTCCTACACATAAACTTTATTATTATTTATGAATTTTTATAAATTTTGATGCCACCCAAACAACGTAAACTCCACTCTTATTATCAGTTAATTTTGGAGTGTTTACTTTGTTACTTTGACGTGAAGATTGGCTTTAACATTTTCTCAATTAACCTAACATTCTTCAAATTATTGTTATGTTTGGACTTTTAGTGAATTAGTGTAAAATTAAAAGATTGAACTTCATTTATCTGGTTGACCCTTCAAATATGCTAATTATATATATATAAAAAAAAAATATGAGCATTATGATAGTGGAGGAATTGTAGAATGACAAATAGCTATATATAATTTTCGCTGTTTACCAAACGTTAATTTACAAACAAATAATTTAATTCGCTGGTCAAATCAGTTATTACAATATGGTGTCAGTTATTTGCTGATACAATTAACTATCTGCTACTCGCTATCAGCTAACAACCAAAATGGAGATTTTAGTGAAATATCATATTTCTATTTATGATGTTTTATACAATTTCAATTTAAAATAAATAGTAAAAATGTATGGCTATCTAAGCCTATACATGTCCATGGACCAATATAAGTTGTACTTTTCAATTGAACCAACTTAATAATAACATTAAACATGTTTTAAGACCGTCCTTCAAATTTTCAAAGAACAATTCAAGAGGAGCATGCACCAAAAATTAATAGCTTTTAATGACAAAAAGTTTGACGATATAGTCAATAAATAAATATCGAGCATGAAGAAAATATTTAAATAAGTGGCCGGCGAGGTCGGTTATTTAGATAACATGGCCTGCTCTTGAAGTCGGACTAGAAAATGACATTTCAAAGACAACCAAAGAGAAAAAAACTGAATATATATAGAAAATGCAACGGTCCCGTTACGGAACCATTCCGTGGAATTTGTAACCGTTAGATTATCGTGTAATCGTCAGGGATAGTTAATCTGATTACAAATCCAGACGGAATAATTTCATAACGGGGCCATAACATTTCTCGCATATATAGAATATATAACCATTTATTTTGTTTGTATCCAACTCAATTATGAAATGATTTTATTTCCATCTTCCCCTAATCATAAGGTTTGGTCTTTTGGTTGGACTTTATGTTAGGCTGACTAATATTACACATTTCTCAAAAAATATATATTCACCTGTCATATTTAGAAACACAATATAAATAAAAATACAACATTTCCTAGTATAATTCTTAACATTTTTGGTAAGAAACTAGAATCGAGACAACTTATCATGCGATAAAAGGAAAAAAGGAGTAAAGCACAAGTGGTCACCCAAGAACAGCCTGACATCCAAATACAGGCCCTCAATTCCAATAATGAAACATGTCTTGTGTAAATCAATCACAATTCACAGCTAGATATGGTCACGGGCTGAACCGATCCATGACCCGACCCGCGGGCCGGTCGCGGGTCATATGTTGGAGGGCCCGTGACCCGCCGGGCCGGGCCGGGAACCTGCAGCTGGCCACGTCTATTCACAGCCCATATTCCTCCACACATAAAGATCTAACCGGTAAGTTAGATAGATTTGTAACAAGTGATGGGACAATCATGTGTAAAATGATAAATCATCAAGTATAAGAAACAAGCTTGTGGTTAAATCTGAGAAAGATGGAAGACAAACAAAGGCAGAAGAAAGTCACATTTCGGAATACATTTTGATACGAGTTAAAGAACACCGGTTTCTAAAGAATCGATGAAGTTCAAAACTCACCTCAAAATTGTCGATATTCTTGCTTTCTAATACGAAATTCCTGTTCTTCTTCTTTTCTCTGTCAGCTCTTTCATCAGAGTTTTATAAACATAGAAAACAGAGATGATCCCAGCAAAAGCTCTTTCATCACAGTTTTATAAATCAGCAATCAAGATTCAATATAACTAACAGAAACAAGGCCATCATTTTTCTCCTTACGGCATTTCATTAACTTCGATTTAGGCCTCTCGGGTTTCAAGAAGTCACCCTGAAAAACTAGCCATTTCTCTTAAAACTTCGATTATCTTCGACTCGATATCAATACTGTAAGGCTAGAGGGAAACACCTGGCAAGTGCCTCCATTGTGCTCATGCCCCTAGCAAATGGTTATTTCCTTAGAGTCAATTCCGAGTCGCAAATAGTCCCATCATCAACACGAGAATCAAAATCTAAACAAACTTGAATCGCAAACGTAACTTAAAAAGATAAAACTTGCCAAGTACCATTTTCCTTGGCGTGTTTCCAAGTTCCGTCACGATTAGGACAAGAGTATCTTCGTCAGTATTATCATGAGAAGGCCCGCGTAGCATTAGGACCCTAAACAATATTTTCATCAATACAAGAAATACAAATATAAATGCATTTGCTTATCATCAGTAAGAATGAACTATATAATTTGGTATCAGAATCCTGAATTTGAGATATCATCCAAGACAAAGGACGATGTGGGACGATGTGGGACAACTCACAAATGTGTATAGACGATGTGGGACAATTCACGAGTGTGTATTCTTTCCTTAAAGAACTCATGGCACATTCACTCTCTTGCATCAAAATTGGAACTTAATCTAAACTTAACATGCCTTTAGCTCCTCAAAAGTCCATTGATGTCGAATTTCCCAAAACAAAAGCATTCATTTCAAATCACAGACCAATCTTCATTAACTTCCAACAAATTGTAAAAAAATAAAATTGAAGCTAGGATATTTGCCATATGATCTTAGCTGTAAAATCGATAAGCTTCGATTGAGCGTACTTCAGCTGACGCACGACGGTGATTTTGCAGTCCAACAGACATTTGAAGAGGAAGGGGAAGGCGGCGAGCTTGCGGCGGCGCTAGTACGGATAGTGGAGGAGGATGATTTTTCGTGGCCGTGGGTAGCAGAGTTGGAGGGGAGGGTGTGGCAGAGGCACACAGCCTTGGGGCTGCCGCATCAAGCGGTGCACGTGGTCCGCCGTCTCGAGGGTGGTCTCCGGCGGCTGCGGGTTCCTCAGGTGAGCCATTCGGCTTGAAGTTCCGGTCTTCTTGGGCCTTCTTGGGCTATATCTTAGCCGAAAGTTTAATGGGCTTTCTCTGCAAGGCCCTGATATATTGGGTTAATGTAAAGCCCGAAAATGATTTTGAAAAGTAGAGCCCACTTTACATTGGCAGTAGCACTATACAGCATGTAAAGGAAACCACAAAAGCTCAGGAAAATGGCGACTTCGAATTTGGAGACGCCTGCGTCATCGTCTTTGTCATCAGCTCGTTTCAATCACACCCCTTATTACTGGTAATTTTATTTATTTTACTCTGCTGCTGTTCGTTTTTTACTCTATTCTGCAAATTTTGGTTTATGAATTTGTCTGAGCTTATTAATCACACTCCTTACTCTGTTGCTGTTAGGTTTTTAGGCTAATCTGCAATTTTTTTTTTTTTTTTTTTTTTTTTTT